TCTAATACAATATTGAATAGATGTGATGAAAGCAGGGCCTCTTGTCTTGTTTCTCCATTAAGTATGATGTTGGCTGTAGGCTTTTCATATATGTTCTGAATCATACTGAGGATACCAAGAAATTTCCTTTCAATTCCAAACTCCTCTAGGGTTTTCATCAAGAGAGGGTGTTGGATTTTTATTAAATGCTTTTTCTGCATCCACAGAGATGATCAGATTTTTTTCTTTGTTCTATTAGTGTGGTGTCTTAAGTTGATCAATTTGCTAATACTGAATCATTCCTGCATTGCTGGAATAAATCTCACTTGCACATGTATGACTCTTTGAATATGCTGTTGGATTCTGTTCCCTAGTATTTTGTTGAGGATTTTTGCATTGGTATTCATAAGAGATTTTTTTTTCTTGTGGTGTCTTTGTCTGGTTTTGGAAAGAAGGCTATGTTGGCTTCACAGAATGAATTGGGGAGCATTTCTTCCTTCTCTATCTTTTGGAAGAGTTTAAATGTTTGGTAGAATCCCCCAGCAAGGCAATCTGGTTAAGAACTTTTTTGGGGAAGTTTTTGATCTCTGATTCAATTTTTTTACTTACTATAGGTCTGTAGAGACTTTCTCTTTCCTCTTGAGTCAGTCTGGGTAGGTTTGTGCTTCTAAGAATTTGTCTTGTTCACCCAGGTTTGTGGCAGCACAGTTGTTCGTAATATCCTAATTCTCCTTATTTCTATCAGGTCAGTTGTAATGTCCGCTCTTCCATTTCTTATTTTGGTTATTTGCATTTTTTCTGTTAGTCTAGCATCAATCATTTCAAAGAATCAACATTAGGCTTTTTTGATTTTCTCTATTGTTCATTTTGTTTTCCATTTTATTTATTTGTGCTCTGATTTTTATTATTTCCTTTCTTTTGACAGGTTTAAGCTTAGTTTTCTCTTCTCTTTCAAGTTCCTGGAGTTGTCAGGTTAAGCTGCTAATTTGAGATCTTTCTTCTTTTGTTATGTAGTCATTTATTGCTACAAATTTCCCTCTAAGTATTGCCTTAACTGTATTCCATAACTTTTGGTGTGCTGTGCTTTTCATTTTCATTTGACTAAGAAATTTGTGATTTCTGTTTTGATTTCTTCCTTGACCCATTGGTAGTTTAATAATGTGTTGTTTAATTTCCATGTTTCCTGCCCCCCCC